CCCGGCCCCAGCCCTCCCCGTGGCCAGGCCTCGGGGCCCGGCGCCATGTTAGGGCGGCCCACTGGGCAGGCTGCTCAGGAATAGAGGCCGCATTGTTTCCACGCTCGGTCCTGCGGAGCAGCGGGGGGCCGACAGTCGGGGTGCTCCCAGCTGTGCTCCCCAACCCCACCCCAACAGCCCGGGCCCGCCACGGGAGCCCATCTAACGGATGCCCCGGGAGTTTCATTCCGGCCTTGTGTTCGACCAGCCGCCTAACCTGGGCAAACCACACCGCCTCTCCTGGCCTCAGTTTCCCCGTCTGTGTTAAGACCAGGAGGAATGGCTCCGACCACCAGGGCCGCTGGGCGGACAGACTGAAAAATACAGGCAAGGTGCTGAGCCCGGCGCCCGATAGATGGTCACCTTCAGGAGGGGCCGAAAGGCGGCCAGGCGACCCTGGGGGGGCCAGGCGCGTCACCGCAGCCTCTCCCCATGTGTCACCATAGTCTCAACTCCTTCGGTTTCACCAAGATTAAAACCGGCCCCCACAACGGGAAAAGGGGACCGTGCTGTGCTCGGGCCCTCGGGCTGGACGGTGAACTTGAGTTGGAAGGCGGGCGCTCTCCTTTGGAGATTTATCGCACTCAGCCGCCCTTTGTTGCAGGCACCTGGGCTGCGTCTACGTAGCCAACCCGTCTGCCCAGGTCTCTCCTTGGGCCCTTTATGTGGCCGGGAGCTGAGGGATGACCACTGGGCCGGCTCCACGCAGGGTGAGCCGCAAGCTGCCAGCGTGGGGCCCCTGGGCGGGCAGGGCCAGCTCTGTGCCGGGCGGAGGGGATGGCGCAGAGTGACCGTGGCTGTCGGTGACAACTGGAGGGAGGTACGAACGGCCTGGACCCCTCGGGCCAGGCTCCCAGGAGGTTTTAATACCGCTTTATACCCATTCAGGGCCGGCCGTGCCCAGAGTGAGCGCGCCGGGGAGCGAGCGGGCGAGGAAGGCGCACCCAGGAGGAGCCCTCGGGTCCCCGCTCCGGCCTCACGCACACAGCCACGTGACCAGCTCGCCAGCTGATGCCAGAGACAAAGCAGGTAGGATTCCGATGCCACGCGCCCAGCCAGGAGCGCCGGGAATTCCATTCCGGCAAGCGCTTGGCACGGCTGCCAACGGCCTGGCCCCAGGAGGAGAGGGTCCCCGTGCTGCACGGGGGATGCCACTGAAAACCGGGTGGCCATTTTGGGGCCGGCCCTGACGGGGGAGGGCCGCAGGAGGAAGCGGGCACCCGCACCCGGACACACATCTCCCCGTGGCCAGAAGTGGCCGCTGCTGTGCCCAG